TCAATCATTCGATCAATTCAGTAAAACCTGATGAGTGTTCTCTGCGCCACAGAAGCACGACCGAATGTGATCAGCGTTCAGGCTTTTCACAGAGGCACGATCGATGTTGATGGGTGATCACTAACGCCTATCAGACAGCCTGGATCAATGTCAGAAAGTCACCTTTAAATAGCGTGGGGCCGTTGTACCTTTTGCACTCGCTCTCTCACTCACTCGCTTGTTCGGAATACAGCTGTTGTGTTCCCTTCTGTGAGTCTTTTCTCTCCGAGACTAGGCACTGGAGCGGGTCAGCAGCAGATACCTCAGATTGATGAATCAGCAGATATAACACCATCAATAGCAGTTATATAGATAACTTGTGAATGCGAAACGAAACGACCGGTTTAATGGAGTGGTTCGAAATCCGAAAGGTTACGAAATCGACGTTTGACCTTGTACGTCCCAAAACAAGGTCACGGGTAAACTTAAGTTGGCTCTCATAGACCTCTCTGTCTTGGTTGAAGTGAACAAGCATAAATTGCAATATAAAAAATGCAATGTTCAGTACTAAAGATGAAGTCGAAGTCTATACCAAACTCCGAAGCAAAAGAAACCATTTTCTCCCGGGTGCCTCCTTCCATGTGTGTGGATGTAACAAGTACACACTCTGTCAAAACTTATGCAAGCATTTGAAAGATCACTGAAGTGTCAAGGAATGGAGGCATCTCACCCCTCGTGCTTCCTTCGGGTGGCATGCCAGCTAGGTACCAGCAAGGCATTACAGCTGAACAATTATTTATTCGTCATATTTTATGTCTTTTTAGATCTGAAACCAGCTTTCAGCTCGGTCTCGCTGCTTTCAAATCTCTCCCTCAAATGTGTAACGAACGTTTCGTCACAGTTTTTTCAACCCATATACTCCAGCACCCGAATGTGCACAAAGTTGTACGGACAGTATTCTCCTGAGTTCATCAGCGAAAGTAATATCGCTCAGACCTGCCAATCGTCACCTTTTCACCTCAACCTCGAAATCGAATGAGTTATCGAAAAAACGTTCGCTTTTCTTCCACTTCTGGCATAGGCTTCTTCGCAGGTACCGATTCAAAGAGTATGTGGACGATACTGCGCTTTCCAGATGCAAAATGAAGTGGACAAGCCAAATAATGTTGCCATGCGTTTGGTACATGCAAAGTGCTAAGTGACATTACAAGACTGAGTGAGGACACCAACAAATCGGCTCATTCTACCAGAACTACTAGAGATAGTAAACATCATGTTGGATGACAGCCCGGCTAACGAAGTAAAAGCTAGTGCTGTCAAGAGATGCTTTGTCTCAACTTAGAAACCTCTATGGTCGACGTATTACTAGCCTGTCGTTGAAAGGCAGGGTCCACAACACGGCAGCGCGTCAGGTGTTGATTTGCATTAGTGAATTCTGAGCGTTGTGGTTGGAATGCAAGAAAAGACAATCTGTCTTTGAACGCCATCAACTGTGAAGTATTACACACGGGCGATTTGAATGTGCAATTTTGACGGGTGATGAATGGCAATAAAACAACTGCTTGTCTGGCTGACGACTTGACTAGGCTACCCCAACTAAAGTGGCTGTCCCATGTGAGCAGTGCATCTGTAGCGGTCACTTCCTTGTTTCTTCAACGGACTTCGCTTAATTTGTCGAGCAGATCCGCGCTCACTAGATCACACGACTCATTTGTTCCACAAACACTAAAATCACCTGACAAAACCCTATCCCGGCTGGAACACAGACCAACAACAAGTCAGTTCCCGTTTTGTACGCGTCAGAACAACCCACTAGCGCATTCAAGATCCAGTACATTATTGGTTGGGTCTACTCACCGACTTGTTGATGTCGCGCGACCAGCGGTCGTTTTGTGTCTTGACATCTTGACTTTAATCACTGATCCGTTGTGCTTACTTGTCTTTACTTCAATCTTTTTTCTGAAACCCGTTTATGTATCCACTAGTATAAGCTGCGGTTTACTTGAAATGTTGTATGATGGTGAGATGTCGGGGTTCTCAATGGTGCAAATGCACTGTTTAAGTGTGCATCGTTTATCAAGAAGCAAAAACGCCTTACCATTAGATCAGTAGTTCCTCGTTTACCCTGATTGGCAGGACTGAATAAGAATTTGGGATCATAGATGCATTGTGCAGACGCCAAACTAATATCACCTACCCTGTGTACTTTATCTAGACAGTTCATACTGCGAGTTTCAGGAACGGTAGGTAGTGGAACCAGGCACATACCCCACAACGAATCTCTAGGTATTGTAAATGTCTGCACCCACTAAATCTGAAAGACAATAACTTGACCTTTGGCTGAAAATCAGTAGAAGAGGATTTTTTATGTAATCCACGGACTAGGATAAAATTTCTCTAACATGCGGTGGAGATGTGAAGTTTGGGACCAAGTCAGTTATATGCCTTATTAAGAGATCCATGATGTGCTACAAATTTACACCTTGTGCCTCACAATTTCCTTACGAATATTGACCTACTGACTTATTACCTAAAGGCTGACCATCCGTAGTAGAACTAGCTAACTCCCGGTTTTTGTTGCGGATCATCCCACAGATGTTTGCACATGCTCACACGTGGTGTTGCATGGTGGATCGCTCACGCCTTGGTTGCTATTGACGCTAAACGCAGCTGACAGTATAATCGATGGAATGGAAAATGTACATGCAATATAAGTATCCTATGGCTGTTTGTCATCCGGTCACCTCCCCACTCTTACCAATCATTCGCATAAGCACAGGGATGCCCTACAAAACATTGGTTCCATTGTCAACACTTGTACCGATTTCTACAAAATGGTTTCGGCGTCATCAGCAAAATTCACTAGATGAACCGCAGCAGGACGACGCCAATTTTGGCAACATCAGTGTGCACCATGAGGAAATGAGCACACGTATTCGACTACGTTTGTCTACTTTGCATGATTTCGACAATACGACTAAGTGCAAGGCATCCAAGAATCAGGTACGTTGGTTTTAGAGCCACATACGTGAAAGAAGTTAGGCAAGTCTGTTGTCCCGTCATGCTCGCAGAATACGCCTTTGGCCGCCACTCCAAAAATATGCTCGGCCTTCACTTCACGGACACTCTGAGTGCAAAGTTCGAAATCACTCACCAGTATCCAGATGGATAGAAATGACTGTTCTTCCACATGAGATCGCACCATTGGGTACCCTGCTTGTTGGCCTGTTATGCGCTAACCAGAAGAGGTAGTATTTGTGGATCTAGAGGATTCGTATGGTATGGTTTAGAAATCCGTACTATCCAAAAAATAATGCAAGACCACTGACCACCTATAGGTAGATGAAAATGTACTGCACGCTTCTAAATGAATTCGAGTGCATACGGTCGTTCACTTTCTTAGGTCGCTGAAGGCATCAAAGGTCGTCATGCTTTGAAACATATTAAAGCCTCTCCGCCTCAAACTGCAATGGACAATTATACCCACTTTCTCGCCGTTCCACTTAACTTCTCCACTTGGGGTCATGCGGCAGCAACTCACCCACCAGGCATAAAGCAAAAGGCTTCCACCTAGTCTGCCAAGTGTCAGCTGTCTGCTGTCAGTACTGCTATTTCAAGTAAAGACGACAGTGCAGGTTGGAAATCCGGTAAAATTCGCTCACCTCATTGCTGGATCGAAAGGATGGAGCCTGAGTGCCTTTACAAGACTGTACACTTCCTTATTTGGAGTTGCGAAAATTTTGCCATGAATTGTTGGTCATAACCCCCCACCGCGGGTTAGACCAACATGACCGCCTTATCTTCGATGCTCATTATGTACCGGCCTCTTGACCGAAAGAGTGAAATTTCCTTGCTACAGCAAAACTCGACAACATAATTGTGCGAACTGAATTCAAAATCATACGGTACACCTGTTTCGGTTATTCAAGTCGACCCGATGCCAGAAAAGCCGTCACCGCGTATTTCATGTGTATTAGTGAGAAACATTTGACCATGTGGGCTTCGGATTTAACGAAACAGGCTTTCTGTGTCATAGTAATGGCCAAAATGATGAAAGGGGGTGAAAAAGGACACTGTCAATGGACAGAGTACAGAAGAATGGTGCGATAACTGTTTTCTGTGCGGACTAGATCTGAAATGGCATTGAAGTAGGATGGGCAAATATGTAAGGTAAGCTGTTTAGGAAAGTGAGAGTCCACCAACTCGTTTGTATGAGAGCACATTGTCCTCCGTAGTCCTTATGTTTGGATGACCCACGATTGCTCAAGAAAGTTCTGCTTCAAAAAGACCAGAATTCACTCCAATCAGTCCCAAAAAATAACCCATCGGAGTTTTCTTTTCAGCTGGCACATGGGAATCCACAAATTTGGTAATCTTCGTTTTGATGTTGCGCTGTCTAAGCAACGCGTGCAACAAAACGACTGGAAGCCAGTGGATTACATGAAGTCAAACTTACTCAGACTAGGTAGCAGCACAACAGCAATGAACGATAATAGGTCACGCATAAAGTATATTAGAGCGGCAGCTCCCACCAAACCTATAGGTACGGCAAACTTGGGGTTGGCCGCATGTTCTGGTATAATATCCGACAGCAACAGGAGAGCAAGGGGAAAGCATGTGAAAACTATCCCGATAAGTACGGCTGAAGGGTTAATCAAACTAGAAAATGGTATACCAAATGACTAAACTTACCTGAGAGAAACAAATATGATGCAAAATATCCAAAAGTAATTTGTTTGATAATAGATAAGATTGGCCACAAGTCTACCATGAAGGCTGTCATCTGTCGGCAAACTAAAACGAGCCCGTTTGCCGACAAACTCGTCGAGCGGCCGACTTGACGGGAAACGCATAGCAACGTCTATGTACCTAGCCGTAGGATACGATCACTTGTTTCAGATAACGGTGGATTACGCAAGAAAGATAATCAGTGCACAGGTACAATTTGTAAAACAACAATCGCGCCTAATCTGTGCATGAGACCTGTCGATTTGCCTACCACTAAACAACAAATTTACCATCGGGCCACAAGATGATAGTGTTTTATTCGGTCCATTCAGAAACGCGCTTGCTGGCCATAGAATGCAAACCAGCGGTTTCCACTCCTCTGGCGTCCGAATTCCCCTCAGCATACGATCGAGTCACCATCCCTTTGACGCTATCTCGCTTGGTGCTCATTCCAATAGGGAAAAATACTTGTAATTTCTCATAGGGTTGTTGAAAACTCTTCGACAGCTCATGGTCGATTTGGCCTTTCTGGGTATTACCAAGCGGGCATAGTCCCGGGTCTCCAGCTAACTTGTGGTGTTGACGACAGATTCCACTGAATTACTCCTTTATGATACTACTCTTCAGTAACCTTGTCAGTAGCGCTTTATGTCAAGAAAACATACTGCGATATCTCGAACACCGTATAGCGTGAAACCCGAGACGGTCTTTCTTCAGTAGATTTAGTTGAACATCACAAGCGAGATGTTTCGTCGAATATTCCACCAACGTGAACCAATTCGGGAATTCGTGTATTTCGCCCATACTGAAGTACGTTTACGTTCTTCCCTCAAACTGGTAAGTATTGTAGTAAAATCTGAACCATCGATCCCCTGATAGTAAAGCATGGAAGAACAAACGGGATGTTTTATGCCATTGGTGGGCTGATGAGTTACCTTGGGATAGAAGAGCAACATAATTAAGGGGAAGGTCGGAAAATGGGAATACTGGGTATTGCAAGCTGTAAACACAAAATGGAAATGATTCACAACTAACATTCAGAAAACTTCATCCCGTTAACGTGCAATCTCTGTACCTTTTTGAAATGTCGGCTGGGGAACACCTATTCGGCCATGTGGAGTAGATATCTTGCCTGTGCATCGCTTTGGGCATCTAGTGACCTAGAGGTGTATACGGGAATCTAGCTTGAAAAAGTCGACCAAAAATGAAAAGGAGCACTGAGCCGCCAAAGGCGATCATTACGTCAGGATTGTTTTGGATGAAGAATTCCGGTCTTCCTGCTCGAAAGTATTATAAACTAAAGAAAGTGTCCGGAAAACACTCTGACCAGTGATTCTCCACGTTCATGTTTCGTTAGTCAACTAGTCGCTTTTGGATATGTTCGGTTGAAATGCTGTTGAGCGTTTAACCCATTGATCCAGACGTTATTTTCAGGGATAAACAGGCAGCTTTCATCAGTGGTTGTTTGGCTCACCAGAGGCCTACTTTGTTCTGCTGCACGTACCAGTTAGAATAACTTACGCAAGTTCACAGGGTTCCGCGTTTCCTCCAACTATCCAGGTTTCTGGACCCGCCAAGTCTCTTAAGCCAGGGAGATGCTCCTTGATAGTGGCCTGAGCTGTATTGTGCTCTCGACCAGTAAAAATATGTAGCCAAGCCTAGCGCTATTTCAGCGTCCCTCGACAAAAATCGTTCAACTGTAGCCAGACTGCAATGCCACCAGAAGGATGCACGAGTGCTGGGATACTGCCAGGTTGCCCAAGCGTAGACAGGGGAAATCGAGGGGCAGAGGTCAGCTTCGAATCGAACACCTTTCGGCCAGTAAATTCGCGCTCTTACCACTGAGCCATCACCCGAGAACCGATGCTCGGATCTTGTTGGCTGCACCGTTCCACAAGCGGAGAGCTCCGCATGTTGAATGGTTGCAGACAGTAACCTCTAGTAATAGTATGAGGTTACTTAAAAGGTAATTGCTGAGCGCAGCTACATAAGGAGTCAGACAGTTACGTCTTACTTCCGAGATCCTCGGACGAGGCCAGCCCTATGAAGCCGGGTGTCAGGCTATCGAGTAACTGGTTCCGGGAATGGGACCCAACAACAGCTGCCCCGTGGTTCACAATTTGGAGTCAGTGGCTATGGAAAGGGTCCCCGAGGAAAACCCTGCATCACTCCACTAGCTTGTGGGTGGGTCTTCTGAGTACCTCAAACAAGCCCGCTTCTTCACCCTGGGCAATCGGCGAGTACAATTCTCCAATACGGCTCTTCATTCCCTGACTCCTCTCCAAAGTCCCTTGCTCAAGTCCTCCTGACTAAAATGACTGTCAGTTACCTAACAGTTGCTTTGTATGTGAATTTCGAGCAGTAAAACAAATCAATATACATCTCTACTAAATCCTACTGTCCTACAATGTAGCTTTCAACTTGCGTACTCTGCACCGAATTCCGTCAGGAAGAGACTGGGCGTTACCGTTATGTGACGGTTTGTGTACCTCCGTGACCTACCGAGCTATACTGGGAGGTGTCTGTGTGACACTCGGTCTCCTGTACCAGGTTGGTCAATGGTTAGAGGTCTGACGAACACAGTCGCCTGGTTCTCCAGGTTGGTATGTGGAATCTGTGCGGCGAATTGTTCCGTAAAACGGTAATGTATTCGCATTTCCGGCCAAACACCGCCGCCTTGCGGTCAGGCTTTTGAGCCGAAGGCTTCGAAGAAGGACCCTAATCGTCCTCCTAACTAGGTGTAGCTGCCCTGGCAGCGTCTCGTCCCACGTACAACCATGAACTGCAGATATACAAATGGGTTCATGCCACATCGGCCGTTGGGTGGGGTCATCAGCTACGTTGCCTTAGTGGTGCATACAGCATGGCAGGTAAGCGACAACATGCGATTTCCGACGCCTGCCTTCTTTGTATTTCAGATTCCTTTTCTACCCCATCTCCCCACCCCATTACTACGCCTTCCCTTGCAAGCCCAGCAGTTAGGAGTGATGACTATATTCCTCCTGCATCGGCTTTACAAGGAACATCTGCGCGTCATCATTAAACATCTCGAAATCAATCTCCAAGCCTCGGCACCCAATCTATCTGGCTACTTTCATTGCCCGCACTCTGAAGCAAGCACGGCAAGCTGCTATTGCTATCATGCCGGACCCGCTTGGCATTGGTGTGCTGTATACCAGAAACATGAATTCAAGAAGCGATCACCGTGGTTGAGTTGACCAACCCATCTCTTTCCACTGAAGTGGAAGCGATTGCTTCCGGCAGCGGATCTCTGGCGATCCAGAGGCTGCTGCGGCAGAATACGCATGAATTGGCATCGGCCGAAGTCATCAGGCAGAAAGGTCCTTGCTTGACAGGATACCAATAGCACAGTGCTACCGGACCCACTCAGGCCCTTGACAGCAGACCAAACAGTGGGACTGCCTGAATCTCGCAGAAATATCCCCTTCGGTCCCGAATATAACTTGGCCCGACGGGTGCTACCGGATCCACTCAGGCCCTTGACAGGAGACCAAACAGTAGAACTGCCTGAATCTCGCAGAAATATCCTCTTCGGTCCCGAATATAACTTGGCCCGACGCATTATCAGATGTCAAATGGAAGTGAGCGTGCGCGTCGACGGTGAGGTAATAATCAATACAATTTATCATTTTGTTGAGCCGAGCCCAACACAGATCCGATCCTCCTTACAGCTCGCAGTCAGGTGCTGCTACGGCCGAGAAGTCCTGCCCACGCAAGATTGGCCAAAAATTCGGGACGCTTGCCAGTCCTGCATCAAACCGAGATCTGATTGTTCGAAGGTCTGGAACCAACAGCCAATCATGATCCAGTATTGGTCGAATGCCGGTTGCCAATGGCGCATCCAGAACGCGTCAGAATTCCCAGAAAGTTATTGCCACCTGCGCCACAATCATGAACTGCTGTACAAGTCTCTCTGACTTCGTTTTGGGCGTCAATATACCTGGTGCACCAATGGTGTTTTTTGCCGTGAACGCTAGCTTGGGAGGCTCAGAGCGAGCACTTAGCCGAGAAAAATACTGTTACTACTCATCTACAAACCGTGCTCCATAGGCACATTGGTTCTAGTTTCGATCACCGGAAAACGGGACTGTGAAACATACAACCAAGCCTTGGAAGCGAAGTCATATTCAGTTCGTTCGGAAATTGGATAGCTACGCATTGAAGGCGACAAATTTGATGCACGAGTCATTTTGCCATTTCTGCAAATGTCACTAACCGTTGGTGAGTTGGGTACCGGGGTCCCTCCTTGGGAAGGCAAAAATTGCCCATTTGACTAAGCTTACTGGTTATTTTTCCGTACTTTGTTGCATGGTCACTCACCGTCACCTTCTCGGTCACCCGGTAAGTCTGGTGGACACATGAAGCTAAGAATGGGAGGGGCGTGGGAATCCGGGGAAGCTTGATAATTGTTTCACTTGATCGGTGTGGCCAGACCTCGGAAACCACCTGGGAGCGGAACTATTACGGAACATCCTGAATAAAGAGGGCATCGACGGTTGGGTCAAATGTTGCGAACGGTCATCTCGGCCATATTCTGCCATGCACCCGGAGCCCACGGCCACCTACGGCCTCGGGGGTTTACAGCTGCCTATGTACCCTCAAGTGCCACCGAGCTCCTGGTCCGGATGAAGTCGCATTGGTAAAAGATGCGGATAAAGTCCTCTGTCAGCACTGTCTGACCTCTTTGCCAGCATTGGGTTCGACTTTCCTAGATAACTATGGGGAGTCAGTGATAGTACCCATTTTTGAAAACAGGCTTGTAGTGGATATAGCAAACAAGGGAGGATCTGCTTGACCCCGATTGATGGTGTTTGTGGATAGTCGCCTCATGGCTCACGAAACCGACTTGAGAGAAGCAAGCAGGATCTCGGATTTGTAACGGTTGTTTAGACCAAATCTTCACACCCCGTCAAGTTCGGCAACAGCATACTTATAGACGGCCCATGATTTTAGTATTCATGGATTTCCAAGATGCATCGGACCCGGTTGGCCGGTCTGTTTTTCTTAGCACGCTTGTTAATCGAAGAATTCCCAGGAAATTTGTGAACATAATTCATTCTTTCTACTCTCAGAATTTCAGGCACGAGAAATTTTACGGAGTTTTCCAAAGGTTCCCCAACATGTAGTGGTGTCCGTCAAGGGTTCCCGCTCTCGCCATTCCTATTTGAGTTTGCGGTCGATGAGATAATGAGACAAACGCAGAAAAAGTTTCAAAACCGTGAGGTTCAAAAAGCCTCACGAAATCCTCATCGATCTGGAATATGCAGACGGCATCGTTTTCGTCTTCGAGGAGGAGAGAATGGCCTGACGAAAGTCATCGTCTTTTGGCATGCGCTTTGTATCCACAAAGCTTTCACGGATTCAGGGGCTGATACACAGGATCGGGGCTTTTGCCCAGGTTTTCCGGATCGCTTCTGTTCTTGTCGGTCAGCGGCTGTCGTTCACCTGAAAGTCACAAGTGTTGTAGCACCCTCTTTATGTTCTCAGCGCGGGGCAGTATGCTTGTCAGCGCTAGCAAGCGCATAAGTAAGTGGCTAATAGTGCTTTAAACTGGGTTCTAGAAGGAGTGTGAAAACCGTCGGAGGAAGATCACTCCACGCGCCTTGTGGCCATGCTTCTGGACATTCAGTCACTGATATCGCCACTTACAACCCCGAGGAAAGACATTCGAAGTTGTGGAGCGTTCTACGTGTCTTGGAATCGGTATCGTTTCTGACTGTATCGTGACAGATGGTGCCGATTCAGGAATCTGCAAGGTTCGGTGCGTGTTTGCTGATTCGAGACACCCACGAGGCCAGAGTACATTCTTGAATCTCAAAAGATGCGGGTATCAGGCTTTAGTGGAGGTTGTTTTGTTGTATGGATGTGGACTTGGCTTGTTTGATCAGCAAAACTGAGACGTCTTCAGGTATTCAACAACTTTTTATCAGAACCATAGCTCGTGTAGTTTGGCGGTACCGAATCTGTAACGAAGCAATTAGAAGGCGAGTTATTTTGTATGAAACGGGATTCCATTGAAGAATCTGTCCCACACCAGAAGCGGCGTTGGTTAGGCCGTGTATTGCGTATGCCGAACCATCGTCCACCAACGAGAATGTTGCTTTCCGTGCCGATTCAGTGGCAGAAGCATAGAGGTGGCCAACAATTGACATGGCAGGAATGTATGAAAGATATTACGAAACCCGCCTTCCTGGACGAGGACCAGGAGATCCCTACTGCGCCTGGTTGTAGAGGCTGTGAAATGACCTCCCAATCAACACCTGCGACGTTCTTGTTGTCAGTTGCTTTCCAGACTGCCTGAATAAGTGTCTGGAGGAGTAAGCAATTCGAATTAATCACAATAAACTGGCACTATATACCTTCCCACAAAAAAATCATTATTTTCTCCACAATAAGTCTTCCAGAATAATCACGGTTGTACGTCAGCAAAGAATCAGTGTTGAACGCTAATAGTATGCCGACGATGATGTACCAAACCGGACAATGGGAAGTTCTTGCTCATTTTGTTTTGTCCCCCGATCGGTCTTTGTTGCGTCTGTGGAAGACCCTCATTGGGTCATACTCCTCAAGTTAATCGGAACGAACTTAGTGTTACTACATTTGACTATTTGGGTGTCCGGTGATTCCAATGCAATTGTTCGTAGCACCGACGGCGCGAGAACAATGATGATACTGCATAAGTCAATATCGTACTGCAGACGATGTTAAATAATCTAAATAAACCCACATCGGTTTGGCATGCGATTCCCACCTCCAATTGCTCGTAGCACCGACGGCGCGAAAACAATGATGATCTTCCATCAGCCAACATCGTACTGCAGACGATGTTAAATAATCTAAATAAACACACATCGGTTTGGCATGCAGTTCACACCTGTTAGGTGTAGAGTGCTGCCGTAAGACCGGGCGGCGCGAAAACTAACCCCACGCTTGCAGATGAGCCGATTATATAAGAAGACAATATTATCCACGTTAGCAGCAGTATTAGTCCCGGTGATGTACCCATCGATGATATTTCCATCCGCATCGAGAGATGAATGAAATTGGGAGGGCAAAGCAGCCTTTGATTCACACCTGCAATTGCTCGTAGCACCGACGGCGCGAAAACAATGATGATCTTCCATCAGCCAACATCGTACTGCAGACGATGTTAAATAATCTAAATAAACCCACATCGGTTTGGCATGCAATTCACACCTGTTAGGTGTAGAGTGCTGCCGTAAGACCGGGCGGCGCGAAAACTAGCCCCACGCTTGCGGATTAGCCGATTATATAAGAAGACAACGTTAGCAGCAGTATTAGTCCCGTTGATGTACCCACCGATGTTATTTCCATCCGCATCGAGAGATGAATGAAATTGGGAGGGCAAAGCAGGCTTTGCAAGTGTGTATCAACTGTGGCGCAGAAGCAGCATCAGCTTATCTATCGAGCTTCAAGCTTGCAATACTCCGGCGCGCTCCATGTAGTGACACGGGTCAGAAACCTGGACGCCGCTCGTTTAGAACGATTAAAAAATTGACAATCGATATCAACGAAGAATTGCTCGAGTATGGATCCGTAATACATACGTCGAATGATTTTCGGGAGAAATATCCCGGTCATGATAGACGAGATGATCACACTCAGTAGTTCCGC